GATCGTCTGCAGCCTGGTCAAGCTCTCGGATGCGACTTCTGCTGGCCGGGGAAATCTCGCTGAGAAGAACCTGGGCCGCGACTTCTTGTAGATAATATTCGAGGGTCTTTGTGCGCGACCACCGTCCTCTCCAGGCAAGGAGGGGGATATTTTCCGTACACAGATAAAAGTGGGTTGCACCTGAACCGCGCAAGACACCGGGTGTCGCTCCGCGGTCGATCGCCCGGTTTGGGAGGCCCAGATGTTCCATCACGGCATTCCACTGCCGGCGAAAGCTGTGCAAAGAAGCTGGGTATAGCCGATCCTCCATCCGCAAGGAGTGCGCGAGCGAATAGATGAACCGTATAGCAGACGGGTCATCTATGCGCCCGTGCTGACGGCGTGCAAAGCGCGAGGTCTTCGGATTCCGCAAATGTACAAAGAGGCTCGCAGTATGATACAAAGTATCGACCGGGAAGACCAAGTCTCGCCGTGTAAGAGCCAAAAGCTCCCCTGGATGAAGCATTGCCAGAAAACCTATAATCAGCAAAGCAGTCCAACGAAACCAGCCCCACAAGAGCCCTAAAGAGACCGCAGCACGAATGGCTGCGACTGGCAGCACGGCTCGGCAGGAGCCCGGCTCAGCTCTCTGCCACTTCTTGTCGATCTGCCAGGCTGGTGTGAGGAAGTTTCGAAAAGCTGGATAGCGATCTGCAACGGCAGTGATGGCGAACACGAAAATGTAGCGGGGCCATCCATTCTCGTAGAGGTGCAAGCCAAAACCGCGTAAGGCAGTAGCAGTCGCTTCAGCGGTGGTGAAGATGGTATCCGGCTCCACGAAGACGTGTTCAGCTATCCAGAGCAGAAACAAGTTAAAGCTCTTCTTCATCTTGTGCGAGGTACTCGAAGCAAAACCAGCGCTCAAATCCAAAGGTCCTCGTGGAGTGGGTGGCACAGGTGCAGCTCTCGGGCCCGGGTTGCGCTCGATGTCACCTGCTAAAAGAAGCACGAACCGAAGCCATCTTGCAGCGTTCTTCGGCACACGAGACGAAGCAACGACAGACTCAAAGGCAGAGCTGTCGCCGCTGAGCAGCTTCTCGAGCCAGCGCGGTACAGCGCGCGTCGGTGGTTCCACGTCCCGGTCGCGACTGGGCGGATCCGCGACGTTGTCCTGAGAGTAGCAGTGCAAAAGGCTGTAGTAGATCCCTGAACCTAAAACATACCCCAGACTACCCTGAAGAACTCGGCTGATGGCGCCGCTCGAAGAGCGCCCTTTCGCAGCGGCTCCTATGGTAACCCGACTATCAAGAATGGCAGTGGCACGAATCCCCTGGGAAGACCTAGCAACCGACTTAAGCCAACTCTTAAACACCCTGGCTTCGTTCACGTTTATGTGCCCAGGCTTTACGAAGCGGTATCGAAACAGCTCAGAGAAAGGCAAAGACTTGCACAATTCCCCGATCCACTCTGGGTCCTCGTGCCACGAGCGAGGCGGGTAAGGTGTCACTCCGCCGGTGCAGCTGAGTAGCTCGGTGCAGGACTGCACCTCGAGCTTCCGAGCTGTCTCCTGGCGCATGCTGAGAGGCACGCGAGGCAGATGACCGCGGTAAGCAGACAAGGTCCCACTGCGCAGTCTTGCGCTCAAACCAAGTGGCATCATGAACGCAAAATCGACAAAGGCTTGACCGACAGAAGGCGCCGACTCGTACACTTGTGCCAGGCTCGGCTTGCAGCGCGCCGCGAACTCGACGAGGGAGCTTTCAGTGAAAGAACCAGAAGTGGGCCAGTGCCGCCCCGAGTACTCGCAGCTGCAGCGCGACTGTAAACTGCACAGCCACGGCTTGTTGTGTAACCAGCGCTTCGGTGAGCTGAAGGGCGCCCCGAAAGAGCACCAACAGACTGACGTCAGCACGCAGCCCAGCACAGCAAGGTTTCGAAAGCAGGCTAGCCGAAACAAAGAACTCGACGCAGGCTGCTCAACATTGATCCACTGGTTGCAGCGAAGTGCAACGGTCATGATGAAGCACAGGCGCCTTGCAGCAGGCCACTCGGGAGCCGGGGGCGTTTGCGCCCTCGGGTTGCAGTGCCGAGCGCCTCCTTGGGCGCAGTAGCGTGCCGAAGGTGCCCAGGAAACAACTGCTGTGCCACTCTCTCACAACAAAGAACTCGACGCAGGCTGCTCAACATTGATCCACTGGTTGCAGCGAAGTGCAACGGTCATGATGAAGCACAGGCGCCTTGCAGCAGGCCACTCGGGAGCCGGGGGCGTTTGCGCCCTCGGGTTGCAGTGCCGAGCGCCTCCTTGGGCGCAGTAGCGTGCCGAAGGTGCCCAGGAAACAACTGCTGTGCCACTCTCTCACAACGCCTCGCAGCGCGAGAGTGCAGAGCTCACGGGCTAGCGAAGCGCTCAGTCCACAAGGCGAGCCATCATCGGCACAACCGAGGTCTTCACTGAACAGCACCCTGACCCCGAAGTGTGAAAAGGCAGAACCCCAAGAGGACTTATGGGACTGAACCACGACTAAGTCGAAAAGGAGTCCTTCGCGCAAGGGCCTAGGGACTAGGGGATCAAGGGAGGGCTGTTGAAGGAGGTCCTCAGGTAACCTTTGGTCGGCACCGAACAAATCCGAACCCTCATGTGGAATACCTTTCTCTGTAAGTACTGCCGAGACTTCGGACTCCAGACGGGTATGGTAACCCCTGAGTTCGCCGTGCCTCCAGATCTCCGAGGCGGCCTTTGAACCGACACGTGCAGCACAAACGGCACCTCCCTGAGGCGAGGCGTCCACGCAGTAAACGCGGTCATCAACAGTGGCCCTCAAGTCTGTCACAAGTGTGCTAGCCAACGCCGCAAGCATCATCAGTTCATTCCTACTCTGATTCGAAATGCGGAAAACAATGTTGCGTGCTCGACCTAAGCCCTCCTTGAACAAACTGTCAACCACAGCGAACACGGGCCTACGAAACATCAAGGCATGGACCCAAGACCCTAAAATCCGCTCAATGAGTTCACGAGTGGCGTGCCCTCTTTTCGCGGTCACAACCGTGAGAAGTGCGAGGCTCAAGGTTCGGTCCCTCGGCGGACCCACACAACCGAGAACGCCATCAAGTTCGGCACCGAGGATATAACACCACGCGTCAAGTTCCTACGCTTCTTGTCAGCGTTAAGGTTTAACCCTACGTGGCGGGCCTCGGATGCCCCAGCAAAAATGAAGCTGTCACGGAGCGTAGGTTCCTTTGCCATATCGGCGAGCGGAAGCTTTTGAAGAGACACATGATCATCAATGGCAAGGAGTTCGATTGTGTCGGTTTTCGGAACAGCTCGCCTATAGAGCAACGTCTCCTCAGGTATTAGCGATCCCACGTGCTGCCGCAGGACTTGGTAGTGAGCGCCCTGACCCACTTCCACAGCAAGGCTGTCGCCCATAGCCATAGTATTAAGTGAAAGCACCTGTGGCCCACTCAACACAGAGCCCTGCGCCGCACGGAGATGCGAAATTTCCTCTGGCTCGAACCGGCAACGGATGCTATTCTTCACAGCCCGAAGAGCAGAAATCTTAAAGGAATAATAGTAATCCGAAAGATCGTCGGCGCAATAGCGGAAACCGATGCCTGGCTCGAGATGCAGCAAGGTCAAAAGTGATCCCGGTGTCAAGGATTTTGAATACCTAGAAATGCTAAAGGACCTAGAGTTGCTGACCGTGGGATTAACTATCAGTCTGTCATTGACGGCCGATTTGGCAACACAAAACAACCCTACCGCTTCCTCCCAATCAACCTCGCACGCGGGCATGACACGGACGGCTCCAAAACCGTCCCACTTCTCGGCGAGCTTTAAAAGCTCACTCTTGCTGCAGTGGAGCCGAGCTGGGGCGAGGGCCGGCCATTCATGTTTCGGCCGTCGAAGCAAACTCGGATCAGCAAAGGCCCTCTGCACAACAGGCTCGAGATAAGGAGTGGGATCGAAGCTAGGACCGTACTTCCACTTGATACGATCGGCCACGACAGGAAGCGGGCCCCCGGCTCGAAAGTTCAGAAACTGCTTCGGTGCACAGGCGCCGTCGGCCGGACTGGAAACAAACTCTCGGTCGGGCTTGGGGGCCTTATGTTGCTCGTAGGGAAGGAAGGAGGCATGCAGTTGAGAGGCCCAGCTATGCGACTCCAGGCGATCAAGCACTTGCTGTTGGGCAGCGGTGGTCGGGAAGCCTATCCTAGCAGCGGGTGGGGCCTTAAGGGGGTGTCCTAGACTCTCCCAATTAAGTGCGCACACTACGAGCTGAAGCATCTGGGTCCGGACCCGGAGTCGCAACTGACGTCGGCGCTTGCGGCAAAAGCCGCGCGTGCAAGCCGTCCATCGCCACCTGGGTGGCGGGACTGGCCACAAATCCTGACCACGGCAACCTGAGGTCATAGACTCAACAGTGCAGGCTTCTGCGAGGGCATGTTTTTTAGAAACAATCAAAGAGGCTAAATTAAGGGGATCAATCTCGTCTGTGCATTGAGGATTGAAATCAGGTACACCGTCAGGCTGCAAACCACTAGGAGAGAAACGATTGTCCCGACTCTCACCGGTGGCCTGCGGCCCATCGACATGCACTGAAACCCCTAGCTTGCATCGTTCTTCGGGCGTCGGGGCGGACGCCGGCGAGGTGGCTTGCCGGGCTCCTCGGCATCCTCGCTCGGTACTTCGGGTGGCTGCGGCTTCTGCGGAGGCGGCTGCCGATTGTTCCCAAGCTGTGCTATGCGAGTCTCGGCATAGTCGAGGTCCTTCAGGTAAGCAAGGTTCGCCGCCATCCACTGAGCCGGAGCTAATCTTGAGAAGCTCTTCAAACCCGGAGCTCGCCTGCTCATGAAACCCAATGGTGTGGGATCCGGGAAGCCGCTGAGGAGGTACCCGAGCTGGGTTTTTCCCCCATCCAAAGGCGCTCTGCTCCACGAACATCAGCAGCCGGCTGGTGAAGCCCATGAGCTCCTCGTTCTTCGATCGGTAGCCGAGCTCCCAGCCGTGGGAGGCTATGGCCGCGACGTGTTGCAGAACCTTTTGGTCGGCCAGGGGGATCCGTTTTTCCACGAACTCCCTCATCAGACCAGGCTCCGGCTCTGTCATCCCAAGCTCCAAAAGTGCACTGTTTTGCACCTTGTTGGCGACGCTCTTGAGATCCGACACCTGCTTCAGAAAAGCTTCCCTCGCCAAGTGACCCTTGATTCCGGCTCCGGAGCTGTCGCCGCCGCTGCCCGAGCCGCCGCCGAGAACATCTTCCAGAGCACCGCCTTTGTGCACAAGCTTCTCCAGCAAGATGGCATTCTGCCGCATTTGGGCTAGCAACATGCTCTGCATAGTGGTGGCCTGAAGCTCCTCGGCGGGATCCTGAACATCGGCTGGCGGAAGGGCTCCGAACTCCGCCTCGAGAGCGAGATCCTCCTCCGGGGCGGCAGCTGCCGTCTGCTGTCTCTCCACCAGGCCAACACGAGCGGGAGCCGAACCGGCTAAGCGCTGGAGCCTCGCCATTGCAGCATCCGTCATCGCCCGGCCGCCGTTGAAGAGATTGCCCCCAGGCTGGGCACCAGTCCGCGGAGCTTGGGAAGCCCGAGCGGCTGCAGGGCTCGATCCCAGAGCGCGGTTTGGCGCCGGTTGCGCCGGCTCCTCCTCCGCCAGTTCGTCCATGGGCTCCCCGTCGACATCCGCCTCGAGATCGACCTCCTGTGCGCTTTCCCAGTACTCCTGGGCGGTGTCCGGATCTAAGCGTTCCACCCACCTTGCAGCAGTGTCCAAAGCATCTTGTGACATAGGCCTGCCAGGTACGGCGCCGACCGACACCGAGAGAACACGGGAAGCTCGATCGGGCAGGCCGCGCAGCGAACGGACAAAGTAGCCGCAACTGCTCCAAGGAAAGTCCGCCAGCAGAGCAGCTCCAGGACCAAGGTGGCGGCCCCGAACAGTCTCCACCTGGACTTGCTCCCTCATAGTAAGAGCCACCCTGTCGCCGTCTTCGTTGAGAAGGCCCTCGACGTAATCCCGCACGGCCGGCAAGTCGGGGAGCACCACCATGAAGCCATTGGCCCGCACCCTCAGCAGGAAAGCAGTGGCGTAGCGGTCGCTTCCTCCCTCTTCGGCAGCAGGAAGTGTAAGATACAAGGGGGGCAGTGCAGAATCGCCGCTCACCGTAAGTGCCAGCTCTTCCACCCCAGGGCGGCCGATTGGCCGCCTCAAACCTGATGAGGAGGCCATCCCCGCCCGGCTCCCAGCAGATATGCTTCCGCTTCTGCGAGTGACGGGAGGAATGGGAGGCACTTGCCGAATCAAAGGAACCCCGAGGGCCCCCGACGGGGCGGACAGCAGCAGCGTAGGTCTGATAGCTCTTGGTCCAGATCCCCTCCGGATGCGAAGGGCCACGTAGAACAATGTAAAAGCTGTTCCTCAATCCAGGCAGCGTCGGAGAGGAGATCTTATGACCTCCGTTCAGATGCGCCTTGGCGCCCAGCCCTGCACGATATGCTCGTGCCACTCGAGCGGTCCCCGACCACTCTCCACCAGCACCGGTAAGCCGGCGAGCCAGTGCCCGAAGTTGAGGAAGATCGAGCGCCCCCAGCGCCTCAGCCGAGAATGCAGCAAGAACGGCAGCCTCAGAAGCGGAAGAGCTCGAAGCAGGCGAAGAAAGGGCAGGTCCTGTCTGCCCAACCAGTTCAAAGCCTTCGTCAGTCCCAGTGCTCTCGGCCCTACTGCGCCGCCGCACAGTCACCTCAAGATCGCCGAACAGGAGAGTCAAGTTGTCCAGTTCGGCGTCCTCCTGGCTCATGCGCGATGAGCCCTGTACTCAGCCAGCCGCTCCTCAGGAGAAAGCCTGGGTGGCCGAAAAGCCCAGAGTTCAGAGGTTACAGCCCCCAGCAGATTGCAAGCGATGCGCCGGCACTGATTGGATATGGCCAGGCAAGTAAGAACCACTCCACAGCAGCAGCCCAGTAAGCAAGCCAGCAGTATGCAGAGAACGATCGCACCCCAAGGCACTCCGGCACAAGCGGGTGAGCTGAAGCTAGCAAGGAATTGCCTAGCTTCGAAGAGCACAGGAGCCCATTGCCCTAACATGTGCCCTGAAGAACTTGAGCAGTCACATCACGGAGCGTTCGCTTCTGGAGATACTTGGCATTACTATTACTTTGGCTATTACTATTGCTATTACTATTACTATTACTATTACTATTACTATTACTATTACTATTACTATTACTATTACTATTATTACTATTACTATTACTATTACTATTACTATTACTATTACTATTACTATTACTATTACTAGTACTATTACTATTACTATTACTATTACTATTACTATTACTATTACTATTACTATTACTATTACTATTACTATTACTATTACTATTACTATTACTATTGCTGTTGCTATTACTGTTGCTATCACTATTGCTAGTACTATTACTACTGCTGCTGCTACTGCTGTTACTATTACTACTATTACTATTACTATTACTATTACTATTACTATTACTATTACTATTACTATTACTATTACTATTACTATTACTATTACTATTACCATCACTATCACCACCGCCACCACCATCTCCAACAAACACGCGAAAAAAGCCAGAGGACCAAAAAAATAACGGCCACTACTACCACTACTACTACCACCACCACTACTACTACTACTACTACTAGTGCTACTACTCTGTCTGCAAATATTTTTTTGATGCTTATCAAAATTTTTTTGATGCTTATCAAATTTCCTTTGATGCTTATCATTTTTGTTGATGCCTCTGCCCCTTCCATCCATCCATCCATCCATCCATCCGTCCATCCAACCATCCATCCATCCATCAATCTTTCCTTTTTCATCCTTCCATCCAAGATATAATTACTATATTGCGTTACATACTGGTAGATGTGCTTTCTGTATGTATGATCCAAGTTTCCAGAGATATGCATGTGTATCAGCCAGAGTGACAGTTGCATTGGTTCGTCTATTAGTCTATTAGTCTACTAGTCTATTAGTCTATTCGTCTATTCGTCTATTAGTCTATTAGTCTACTAGTTTATTATGTTTAGTAGTCTATTAGTCTATGACTGTATTACTCTATTACTCTTTACTATTACCCTTACTAGTACTATATGTAACAAACACGTAGTAGTAGTAGTAGTAGTAGTAGTAGGAGTGGTAGCAGTAGTTAGTAGCAGCAGTAGTAGGAGTAGTAGTAGTAGTAGTTGTTGTTGTTCTGGTAGTACTAGTAGTAGTAGTCGTCGTCGTAGTAGTAGTAGTACTAGTGTACTAGCGCTAGGCGTCGTAGTTGTAATAGCAGTGGTAGCAGCCGCAGAAGTAGTAGTAGTAGTAGTAGTAGTAGTACAGTTTCAGTTCCAGTTCAGCCTCAGTTTCAGTTCATTGTCCTTGCAAAAATTTTTCCGGAAGGGGGGGCTTTCAGATGATGTGTGGGCTACTACTACTACTACTACTACTAGTACTACTACTACTACTACTACTACTACTACTAGTACTACTACTACTACTATTACTACTACTACTACTACTACTACTACTACTACTACTACTACTACTACTACTACTACTACTACTACTATAACTACTACTACTACTACTACTACTACTACTACTACTACTACTACTACTACTACTACTACTACGCTACTATTATACGCTATTACTAGTACTAGTACTACTACTACGACTCCTACGACTACTACTACTACTACTACTATTGCTACTACTACGATTACTACTACTACTACTACTACTACTACTATTACTACTACTACTACTACTACTACTACTAGTACTACTACTACTACTACTACCACTACTACTATCACTACTACTGCAACTACTACTACTACTACTACTACTACTACTACTACTCCTACTACTACTACTACTACTACTACTACTACTACTACTACTACTACAAGTACAACCATCTGTGCCCGGCCGCAGAATGGAGGCGCTGGGCCGCGCACAAATCGGCCTATTATGTATATGACAAGTGCTGTTCCGTGTGATGGTGATAAGATAAGTTGAAGCTGTCGGATTTAGCTGCAGACGGACCGCAACACCACTGGCATGGGCGGCCATATACAACTGATGAAAAGATGTGGGGTGCGGGAGGCGGGACGCGGGGCGCGGACACGGGGCGCAGGGCGCGGGACGCGGGACGCGGGGCGCAGGCGGCGGGGCGCGCGGGACGCGGGACGGGACGGGACGCGGGAAGCGGGACGGGACGGGACGCGGGACGCGGGAACGCGGGACGCGGGCGCGGGACGCGGGCCGCGGGGCGGCCGCGGGCCGCGGGCCGCGGGCCCGCGGGCGCGGGCGGGAGCGGGCGGGACGCGGGACGCGGGACGCGGGACGCGGGACGCGGGACGCGGGACGCGGCGGCGCGACGACGCACGTGAATTAGCCTATATTATGAAGCACATGCAGGCTCATGCAGACATTCAAAAAATGGGATTCATGAATATATCAAAAACACAGACACACGCACAGATACCATATAAGCATGTATGTATATACATATGCACACAAAAACACAAATGCGATGGCTGGCTTGCGAAGAGACGCCGAAGAGCAAGCTGAAAGACCCCACGGTTCTTGTGAAGCTTGACCACCTGCGAAGCGGGAAACCGAAATTTTGCATTTCGGGCTTCTGGATTTCTGGGTCGTGGGCTTGTGGCATAGTTCAACGCTTCGGGCTGAAGGTTTTAGGGTTTGGGGTCGGTCTTGGATACAAGCTATGCCGCAAACTCCAAGGCAAAAGACGGATGTAGCTGAAGGCCCCGGAACCCCACGTTTGAAACCCCCGAACCCGAACAATCGTTTCTTCGTCTCCAAAACTCCGACCTCATCAAGGTGGCACAGTAGTTCAGTAGTTAGAGGGAAAATCAGGCGAACCCAGGCGCAATGTGTGCGTTGAGCCGAGGTGGCTACAAGACGCTGCGTGTCGGATTTGTCGGAAGTGGAATCAAAGCTGGGATCGTGGGCACAAGCTTTGCAAGGGGTAATACCGCATGGAATGGGTAGAATTCTCCCCCCTAGGGAATCGATCACGACAACCGGAAAACCTTAGAGACCTTCGAGGCGTCATGGATGCGGGGCTTAACACTTGGAGGTTCAGGGTGTGCCATGGTTCGCTTGGTGACACTCAGCCAGCGGCACCGACGAAGGAAAGGGAAAACCCGTGACCACACTTCACCTGCCGCAATGCTGCCGACGATGATGACGACGACGATGGGGATGATGATGATCATCATCATAATGATGTGATGATGATGGTGATGCTGACGCTGATGATGAAGATGATGATGGCGATGATGATGCTGATGCTGATGCTGATGCTGATGCTGATGCTGATGCTGATGCTGATGCTGATGCTGATGCTGATGCTGATGCTGACGCTGACGCTGACCCTGACCCTGACCCTGACCCTGACCCTGACCCTGACGCCGATGCTGATGCTGATGCTGATGCTGATGCTGGTGGTGCTGCATGATGCTGATGCTGATGCTGATGCTGATGCTGCTGCTGGTGCTGGTGCTGGTGCTGGGGCTGGGGCTGGGGCTGGGGGTGCTGGTGCTGGTGTGATGGTGCTGGTGTGATGGTGCTGGTGCCGGTGCTGGCATAATGGTGGTGGTGGTGGCGAATAGTTGAGAAGCATGCTTCGCAAAGCATGTTGGAACAACAGCTTGTGATAGTCGCTTTCTTTGCGACATTGTCAATGCACCACACTACGTGGCTTCTTGTCACTCGGAAGATTACGAACCGGGTGTTGACTTTGCAGCGCCACTTCGCCCTGCGTAGCACTCTCAATGCAGCGGTACCACTACACTACGTGGTTTCTCCAGCCTGCAAATAGAAGCGAAAGACTAGCTACGCTAGCTTTCGTGATTAGAAGATATAAACGAAAGACTAGCTACGCTAGCTTTCGTAATAAAAAGATATATTCCTTCTTTCCTAGAATCTTTTATTTCTTTCATATTGATATTTTCCTCGAATAAACCAAATATCTAAATTCATTGTGATATATTTCATTTCTTGTTCGAATATATTTTGAAGTATCCCTTTGAAGTTCATGATATATTTCAAAGCCTAGATCGAATATACCTCAAATTTCGATTCAATACATAATGAATCTTATTTCATATCTGTAATCATATATCTTTCATACCAACCCTTTAAGATTCAATGCTCTGCAACCTTCTTAGATCTTTTTGGGGCCGCAATAGATGGTGCGATCATCTTTCGGCTCATGCGGACCTGCCGGAGTACAGGTCTTTTCGGGGAGCTTAGGGCCGGTATGGGCCCAGCTCGCGGACCCAGATTTCAGGGCTCGCTTTTTTCGTGAGGCCCAGCTGCGCCATGTGCTGTGGACATGTTCACTCCTCACAGAGACTGCACCTGGACAGGGTGATGGGAAGGCCCTCCAAGGCCATCACGTTACACAGCACTTACAACTCCAAAACAAAAGGCTAAACCAATGCTGGAGGCAAGACTGGCTAATGTAAATGCGTTTGTGGCAGTCTGGTGCACTGCTGGTTCCCGGAGTCAGAAAAAAACCTTGGCCGTCTGCGGCGACATTTTCTGCGGGTCATCCGCCGTAGCAATATACCAGTGCTTCACAAGAATTGCGTGTGGCTCTTGCCTGCGCTGTTGAAGCCTGTGTTGCTGTTAGCCTCAGACCGATCTGGAAGTCGGAACGGATCGGCCGTTGAAGCTCAAACCGCTGGGAAGTGCCGCACACTAGTGCGAGGCGTCGCGATGGCTGATCGCTGGGTTCTCACGTTGTTCTCAGGAAGTAGGCGATGCCCAAGTCATATTAGTATCTATCAACCTTATCCGGTCAATGAGACGCAAGGTGAATCTTGTCGGCGGGATCACTTCTGTGGCATACAGCATTGTCATCCCATGATGTTTGGCCGAACAGCACGTCGTAATGCAGAGACTTGGCCGAAGCTCTGCCGGCGCTATTCAACTTTCCAGATCTCTTGGGAGTGTCAGGCGTTGTCGGCCCTCCATAGGTCAACCGTCTGGCTATTCGTGGTGATTTGTCCTGGCAACTAACTGCCTAGTCTTGTACATTCCGCTTCGGACCTCAAACCAAGAAGAGGTAAAAGACACAGATATTCAGCGACATTAAGAGGGTTCTCTTTGCGAATCGGCGTCTTTCCTGGCTACATTGGCAAGCGGTCCTGAAGGCATCCGAAGGCGTGATGCTGGCGTGATTCGAGCATTTCTGGCTCCCCATACTCTCAAGTCTCCCTGCAAGTGCTGGTAATGGTAAGAGAACAGACAATGCCTGCCTACATTCACAGCACGGAACGCAAGTCAAAGAGCGGAATGTAGAGAGAATCACCCGAACAGTCACGTACCAAGCAAGTAGGCGAAATGAAAAAAATATGACCCGCAGTACACTCGCATTGAAACAAGAATAAAATCTTGCGCTGAAGCTCCTGGCACGTCGTAGACACACTCCGCAGGTTCCAAGGGGCGAAGGCCTCGGCTACGCAGCTCCATGCCGAGCATGCGAACGCAAGGCAAACGCAAGGATGGTGTGCAAAGGACAGTTTCAACAAGGCAAGGGCGCCACAGTCCAGTACTCAGCTCGTCAGCCCAACAAGTCGAAAGGAACTCAAAGCTGTGTCGTGTGATTCGAGCATGATGCTGGGAGGTTCTGCTGCGGTAGGACTTAGCCCTCGCAAAATGCTGCTGATACACCGCGTTCTTCTGCACTTTGGAGGCATGCCGAGGCCCCTGCAGATACAAAACGTGAAGGTCCCTCAAACCGTCCAGGCAGGCTTGGAGTTCTACGGGCTCTGCTCTGGACTGCTGGCCTTAGCTGTCTTGGCTTGAACAGGCTTGCAGCCCAGTTCTAATGCTTAGAGTTTCGCACGTGGCTCAAGGATAGGGCGGGCCGTAAATCGCCTGTCTCTGACTGCCCCTCTTGCCCGGATGCTGGAGACGGAGCGCCTTCCCGACCCAGAGTAACTTGCGGTGCAGCAGGTGCATGACAAATACATCGGAAACTCCTTGCTGTACATGCCTGGGCTTGAGGATTTGGTAGCTGCAAGCCTCTGGCCTGACATGACGTGGCCTCGCTTCAGAATTGCCTGGCCTGTGGATCGCCAATCGACCTAGGCCCGAGGCGGTAATGATGCGAAGCACAAGAACTTGAAGTTGCCCGCAGTCTGCATTTCTGCCGCTTCTGGCAAGCAGCAAGCATGCGATGTCGGAATACAAGCGCTTCTTGTAAGACCCAGCCGGACGAGCGAAGCACGAGCTTGTGGGAGCCGTGCTCAAAACGCGCAGACTCAGTACTGGGTAGCATAGGCTTACTCAATCCAGGCTTCAACATGCCTAAAGGTCCGGAAACGACCTGAACAAATACACATGGCTGGATGATAGAGACATTTCCTGCCGGGCTCCCGGAATGTCTGTTGGAGCGACTCCGACAGCCGCGACTGAAGTAAGTTTTACACAGGCTGAAAGGATTGCAACATCAATATAGGCGGGTGCCCAATCAACAGCGTGCAAGCAAGCCCCACGTAAACCTGTCACCGACAAGAACACCCAGGAGATTTTGACTTTCTCAGAGTCCAGGCATGGCACGTGTCGCAAATCAGAGCTGAAGGTCGCAGTGCAGATCACAAGAGGCTGTGGGCTGTGGGAGTGGCTTGGCACGTAAGTATCCATATAGGCTGTTTCTAGCAGCGTTGGCACGTCCCAACCCGACCACACCAGATGATTGTCATTTTGAGTATTGAGTAGAGCTGCTGCTGCAAACTTCAGGCAAGATGCTTCAAAGGCAGACCCTGACATGGAACAAGACCTCCGAGTGCGGACAACATGCAGGGTAGCACAACCGAAAACAGGTTTCGTGATGCGACAGGTCTCGTCAACGATATGACCTGCACGCTGCCTCGGTGTTATCGAGCGGCACCTCTCGCTACGCTTTGGCAGTCTACCGTCGAAAGAAAAATCAGATAAACCGGGAATGCAAATTGTTCAGGCTTGTTACAACAGCCGTCTGGGATGCTGTTGAATGCTTGTGGCCATGCATGCGAAAGCAGTGACTTGTTGATGACATCAGTGAATGTTGCACAGCTTCTCCACGATGATCCGTCTGAACTTGCTGCCTGCTATCTGACACAAAGCTTTTGTAAGTGTCGTGGCTACGACATTCTTTGCTGAAAGCATCGTCTCGTCAACAGAGCGCCAGGACTGCAAGCGGCCCTTGCGTGGTCGAGCTAAACGAAGAAGCTGGCATCTACTCTCATGGCGGCTAGGGCCGCGCGCATGAGGCCCGCTGCAACACATCACAGCCACGGTGCCAGTGTGTCTTGATATACATCCAACGAGAACTTCACGAAGCGCAGTACATGGTTCTTGGCGCGAAGACAACCCCCAATTTCATGACAGCCGCGACATGCGGAGACGTACTATCAGCATCCGCGTTTGGCTTAGCCTGGGGTTTGGCAGCCTTGTAACGAATCTCTGACATGACCGAACTATTCATGGCAGCGCGGTGGGAGCCGACTCTGTAACAGCATCGCAGTCCCTGGAACAATCAACACCGGTCGTGACATTCTGGCACAGGAGTGAATGCCTCACATGGTCGTGGATTCAAGAAGGCACAAGAGTTTCCAAGAGGCAGTGCAGTCCACACGGACACGCCTCATGGAGCATTGCCGCCTGTGGCTCACGGAATGCCAATCCCATCTGGCATCCTTGCTCGAAAACAAAGCACAGGAGAGGTGGAAATTCCATGTGCATCACTTGGCCATGTCCCGATGCTCCTGACAGCAGTCCTGGGACAGAACTCTAAGCCACCCGGTGCAGAGCCAGGACAAGCCAAACATGCCTCCCTTTGGTTGGCCCTGCTGGTGACGTGTAGCGCGATATGTGGTGTAGCGCCAAGCACTGCAAGAATGCCAGCGTGCACGACGCACGGCGCCGGAGGATGCCCGCGACCTGATCAGATCGACGGTGCTCGCATTTACTGCCACAGCAAGACCATCGAAAGCACTGTTTGGACAGGCGAGCGGACATACTTTCTGCAACTGAACGACGACATTTCGACTGAGACTCGACTGTCAAGCAACACATTCCTGCCGACTTGCCAGGTGCATCCATCTTGCCAACGGCCTCCGAGTGAGTGCAACCTTACAGCCAGACATGCTGTCGAAGACGTCATGGCAAGCCGCTTAAGCCACTAAGCGCAAGAGGCGGGCACAAATTCAAATTAACTGTCCGAGTGATGACAAGGCCGAAGAACGGAGCCGCTCGATGGAGCACAACACCTGGAGTCCTGGAGCAGGATGATTCTCAGGACACCGTGTACTTATTTGTACATCCCTTTCCTAGAATGCGCACATTGGCGGTTCTTCTGTCCAAGCTGGGCAAAGATGCAGTTCGACCAAGAGTCCCTGCTTGAGCCCCGTGAATGCTTCTTCCTCGCCTGGGGCCTGGACCGCGGGCCGGCCGCAGCCGCCGCAGCCGCCGCAGGCGTTGCGTGAACTTCATTGCAACAGTCTCAGTGATGACTTCACGGGTGTGGCTGAAAACAAGCGATTGTTGAGCGGATCTCCTCACAAGAATGCGTCAGAACAAGCTGTGCAGCACCGTGCTTGCTCTCACCCGACCTTTGTCAAAGCCCGATGCATTCCCGAGAGCCCCGGAGAAACTTTTGCCGCTCCTGTGCGCTCCTCGCGACACGAGCACAGCACACCTGCAAAACCATGGGATGCGATGGCATGACGTGAAGCAATCCGGCATCTTCTATGGCAATCTGAAACTTGAAGGAGCCCAAGCTGGGCAGTTGGGGGCCACGAGGGCTGAGCATGCCGCTTCGGAGAATGCCTCTCTGCCTCCGTCCAGCTGTCACTGCCGCGGTGTCTGGGAGAATCTTGTGCGACGCAGGAGAAGACTGATGACGCGAGCTTGGCTCTTGCGATGTGGAAAGCTCATCTTTGGTGGCCCGACAGCCTGCAACGCTTTGGCACGTAAAGCCCTGAAAGCTTGAAGAGTCTTCGAGAGATTCTCTTGCCGTGGGTAGTTAATTTTGGCAGGTCATAGGAGCCAGAATCTCCCTTACTAGCACGAACATGGATGGAACGCTCTGCAATGAGAAAAAGATGACTCTGTGCACAATAAGGAGTGCGCCTGCTTCCAGCTTCCAGGCAAGTCAAATTATTCTACCACAACAAGGAGATGCCAGTGTGGGCAAGGTTTTAGGGCATTCAAGACTGAACGAAGACAGGGATTGCTTGAAAAACTTGCATCTCAAGCCGGCGGCCAGCGGGCCTTGGGGCGAGGCCAAGCAGGCGGATACCTTGCAGAACCTTTGGGATACCCCTTGCATATCCGCCGCGCAGGATATCGAAGACTGGACCTGCCTTGAGCCTCACGTGGGCACGGGGACCGGGCCGATCATCGCCGAATCTTCAAACAGACGCAGCGAAACTGCCATTTGTGCCGAAGCCATGCCGCTTTCCCAGTGCGAGAAGGGGGCTTCAGGCCGCAAGTGAGCTCTATTTCGACAGTCCACCGTCAGTCTCGTCTCAGCAGCACGGCTCTGGGACAGGAGCTATGGGCTATGGGGTCTTCATCGGGGACCGAAGCTTGGTGCCATGAGCTGCAATCAAAGGAGATGTCAGGCTGGTAGAAGAATTGTTGGCGGAGTGGCGAAGCACGAAAGAGTCCTATGCAGCAGACATGGACACACCGCGTTCACGTGGAGTGGCGCGTCCGATGAAAGCACAGGCTGAGCAGGGATCTCATTTTTGAGGTGGCAGAATCATGAGAAGTCCGCCAGGGTTCAAAACACCAAGGTGCCACAACAACGGCGCCGGAGTTCGTGGCGCTACACCTCCAGCCTACGCACCACAAATGTTCGAGGGACAATCTTGTGGTTCCTAAACACTGACTCATAACGAACCGAACCTCCAATCGCCGAATCTTCTCCGCAGCAATCAGCAAGGGGACAGGGCGAACCTTCAAAGGAACTGACCATCGAAACAATGAAGTTCACACTTCTCATGCCCGCCGTGTTGCTTTTGCGGCAGGGGTCAAGCGTGTGCGTCTTGATGCACCTCCGTCATGCGCACCCTTCACAGCATCTGCCACTGCTTGCTCTGCTCCCGATGGCGACAAGGGGGCATTGGACGGACCGCTCAAGATCTTACATGCTCGAGCCCGGGAAAGTATCAAGCCCAGCCGGGAGGAAAAGTAGTGATAAACGAGCGCCCATGCAGAAAGCCACTGGCGGCAACTGCCATGCATGGCACGGTGCGCTGAGGTGCTCAAGTGCAGCCATTGGCCCTGCGCACTGTCTGGATCAAATTGGTTTTTAAGCTTGCAATGGCAGAGTCGCAATGCGCGGGGCAACAGTCACCGCGTCCCTATCGCACATGGCCGTGAATCCAAGGTGGTGCCTCCGGAGGGCGTGGCCACGCTGGGCGCCTGTACACCTCCAGCCTATGAAACGCAGATGTTCGACAGACACTCCTTTGCTTCCTAAACACCGACTCAAAACGAGCCGAACCTGCAGTGGCCGAATCTTCTCTGCAGCAATCGGCAAAGGGACACGGCGAACCCGAAACGGAACTTACCAGCGAACCCATGTTACATGTGACTTGCTCTGTTGCCGACGGCAGCAAGGGGTCATTGGGCGCACCGCCTGCCCTGCCCGGAGTTGGGTTATATGCTCGAGCCCGAGAAAGTGTCAAGCCGAGTCGGGAGCAAAAGTACTGGTGAACCTGCGTCCACGTTTAATGCCACAGGCAGCAACTGCCACGCATGGCACGGGGCGCTGGGGTGCGCAGGTGCAGCAGGGCTTCTGCACGCTGCCTGGGTCAATTGCGGCTTTAAGTTTGCAATGACGGACTCACAATGCAGGAGGCAAAAGTCACCGCGTCCCTATCGCACGTGGCCGTGAATATGCAGCACAGATGTTCGACGGACACTCCTTTGCTTCCTAAACACCGACTCAAAACGAGCCGAACCTGCAGTGGCCGAATCCTCTCCGCAGCAATCGGCAAAGGGACACGGCGAACCCGAAACGGAACTTACCAGCGAACCCATGTTACATGTGACTTCCACGACAGGGGTCAAGCCTATGCGTCTTGATGTAACTCTGTCATGAGCAACCTTCACTGCATCAGCCACTGCTTGCTCCGTTGCCGACGGCAGCAAGGGGTCATTGGGCGCACCGCCTGCCCTGCCCGGAGTTGGGTTATATGCTCGAGCCCGAGAAAGTGTCAAGCCGAGTCGGGAGCAAAAGTACTGGTGAACCTGCGTCCACGTTTAATGCCACAGGCAGCAACTGCCACGCATGGCACGGGGCGCTGGGGTGCGCAGGTGCAGCAGGGCTTCTGCACGCTGCCTGGGTCAATTGCGGCTTTAAGTTTGCAATGACGGACTCACAATGCAGGAGGCAAAAGTCACCGCGTCCCTATCGCACGTGGCCGTGAATATGCAGCACAGATGTTCGACGGACACTCCTTTGCTTCCTAAACACCGACTCAAAACGAGCCGAACCTGCAGTGGCCGAATCCTCTCCGCAGCAATCGGCAAAGGGACACGGCGAACCCGAAACGGAACTTACCAGCGAACCCATGTTACATGTGACTTCCACGACAGGGGTCAAGCCTATGCGTCTTGATGTAACTCTGTCATGAGCAACCTTCACTGCATCAGCCACTGCTTGCTCCGTTGCCGACGGCAGCAAGGGGTCATTGGGCTCACCGCCTGCCCTGCCCGGAGTTGGGTTATATGCTCGAGCCCGAGAAAGTGTCAAGCCGAGTCGGGAGCAAAAGTACTGGTGAACCTGCGTCCACGTTTAAAGCCACAGGCAGCAACTGCCACGCATGGCACGGGGCGCTGGGGTGCGCAGGTACGGCAGGGCTTCTGCACGCTGCCTGGGTCAATTGCGGCTTTAAGTTTGCAATGACGGACTCACAGGAGGCAACAGTCACCGCGTCCCTATCGCACGTGGCCGTGAATATGCAGCACAGATGTTCGACGGACACTCCTTTGCTTCCTAAACACCGACTCAAAACGAGCCGAACCTGCAATGGCCGAATCTTCTCCGCAGCAATCAGCAAAGGGACACGGTGAACCCGAAACGGAACTTACCAGCGAACCCATGAAGTTTACATGCCGACTGGTGAAGAGGCCATGCAGATTGCCACGGGCAGCAACTGCCACGCAAGGCACGAGGCGCCGGGGTGCTCAAGTACGGCTCTGCAGGCCTGGACAAATTGGGGACTTGAGCGCTTGCAATGGATCCCGGGTCGCAGAGTCCGAGGCTGCGGAGCCCAGAATGCAGTGAAGGGTGCGGCTTTCGGAGCTGCACGGCTTTGCACAGGTCGCAGCTTCAGTGCGAAGCACAGCTACAACGGGGCCTGCAGTGATGCATCCTCCTGGCATGGCGAGCCAGCTACGAAAACACACCTTCCATCGGTCAGCTTGCGGCTGGAGGGTGGGAGCTGACCACGTGATATGCCCTGCAGACCCCAGCACGGCCTGTCATGGCAATGTGGTCACAAGCAGAGAGCAGAATGCGCACGCCCATCAGAGGTTGAGGCCGCTCCCACTGGCAGGAAGAGGCCAGCGAAATGTCACGGTCTAGCTGTGCCTACAGGCCAGCTTCAGGCAAGTATTGAGTGCGTGCCGATAGAGACGCACGCTTCCCAAAATTGCTGGTGGCACGCAAATGCTTTGCTTTCTGGCATGAGTGTCGAAGTTGCTCAGCTGTTCGTGGTGCGGCGCTTGAGCACCGAGCTGCCGGATGTCACTGCAGCGCAGTGTTTGGGGTTATTGTGTCCAACCACATCGACCCAAGACATTGCCTTGGCGGTTTATGCTTTACGGGAAAGGTACCTCACCGGTCTGCTCGTGCTCCACGAGCCTAGTTCTGGAGCTTTTCTCCAGAGCGGTAAGCAACTCGCCCCGAAGCCCGAGATTCTGCCGGAGCAGAGTTTGCGGCCCGGCCTCTGAAAAACCTCAGACGCAGAACCTGCAGAGCGCAACGCGCAACGGAGCTTCTTCGCAGACGCTTGGAGGTCTGCTCCTTGGGCGAAGAGCAGCCGCTAGAATAGTGCAGTCGCTAGGGGTGCGAGGAAAGTCCCTACCGATGCCCCGATGCCGTCTCGATCAGTTCCGGTAGTGGAAGAAATTCATGTGGATCTCCTGCAGATTTACACATCATCTTGGCCACTAGGTCATGCTGACCTGCCGCGATCAAGAAGGAATAAGGTCTCGGCTGGAGCTGAAGGTGAAGAGGCCCTTGCTGGGAACCTGCACCCATGGGCAGGTTCAAACTACGGCAGGTGGACTGCAAGAAACATCACGGAGGCTCTCAGTGAGCCAGGGAGGCCCTGGTGCATACACCGGAAGACTTGGAGATGTGCTGAAGCCGTGCAGATTGCAAAGGAGCCGACCTCGTAAGCATCAGTGACGCCCAGCACGAGAGCCGGCAGGGGAAGCAATCGCTAGAAATGTTCAGCACTTGCCGCGAGCAGGAGGCAAGCACGCTCGCACACGCCTGGACAGCTGAGCAAGGTTGGAGGAAATTCGACACCAAGATGACTGGCCACTGCCGTGGCACAGGATGGCAGCCGAAGCTCCTTCTCTATCAGGTCAAAGGCGTGGCAGCACCTGCTCGGACTCTCTGTGCCGATAGGACATGCAGCCGAACTGAATCCAGCTTTTACAATTCGCCTTTACAGCTAAGCCTGTGGTCGATACGGCCCGTATCCGGACAGGTGGGCGAACTCGCGTGCAAGCCACAGCACGACTCAGCGCCATGAAGAAAGCTGCAGAAGGGTCTCAGCAACTAACCCTTGCAAAAACAGCTCACGCTGAAGCAAGCCACGAAGTTCTTCACACCGGCTTACGACGAATGACTCTCTGCAGCTCAACCCCCAGCATGTTGAAGGTCACCAACTGCCCTGCAAGCTACGGAGCTACGGTGATCATCTGTTGACAGCTGGAACTGCGAAACACAGAGCTGGCGCAGTGTTTAGCAAGCACATCCCTGGCAATGCCTGCATGCCAGAGACGGTGACAAAGAAGCCTTGCGACCAATCTGCTCTACAAGAGCACATCGCTTTGACTTAGTAGGCGAGGTTATGGACCTTGGCAAGTGCTTGAGCGCTTACAGAAGCCGCAGGCCGTAACAAGGCGTCACGATGTTCAGTGCAGCTGCGAACCTTTGCAGGGAGCTACCGGAACACCGTGGCGAGCAGAAGCTGCCGAAGCCAGAGAGCGAAGCACAAGCTACGAATACAAGGAGCCCAAGGCCTCAAACCTGCAGGCAGCTGAGCTAGTTGCACTTAGCAGAGATCTTCTTCACAGACACCATGCCGCAAGACAAGAGGGTTCGTGGTGAAAGCTGTATGAGGGCTTGATCCAAGTCTACTCATCAATGCATACCTGACCTTGAATCTTGCACCCTTTACAGAGCTCCTCCGAGTTGCTACCAGGACTTCCGGAGCCAGTGAAGACATGCATGCTTGAGGTGGTCGGGTGTCAGGATCACCATAAGCGGATGCACCACAATCCACCCGTCATCGTAGCCATAATTTACTCGCGAGTTTGCACGCAGCTCGCAGACAGACAGTCGGTCTCACCCCACAGGCAGATCATGTCTGCATGGCTGCCACAGACACACATCGCTTTCATCGAATACCGGAGAAGCAAGGGTGCTAGGGATCTGGGCACGAGTGCTGGAAAACCGAACTGCGACGCCATGAGATTACTCCACAAGACGCTGGCACATCTCTAGCTGCTGTAGCTGTCGCCGCGGACATCCTCGCAGGGACGCAGTGCAACTCATCCCTCGCCGCCCTCGCGGTCCTCTGGGAGCCTCGAGGCTCGCAGTGCTCGCAGCCTCAGAAGCCGGGCCGAGGTGACTACAGGGGCCTCGGTCCGAAGGTCCTTCGGCATCGCACCGTGCGCGCCGCACGCACTTCCTTCCCGACGCTGAGGCGGGTGGGAGGGTCTGTGTTTTCAATTCAAAACAGAGCCGTAGTTCGAATGCAAGCCTCGTGACATGCGCTTGCATATGGCAGCCGTACAGCACCGAATCCGATTGAACAAGCCGCTCGACGGCGAAACTAGTTTCGGTAAAGATCGCGTGCTGAAAAGAGCTGCGTGATTTGTGCCCCTGGCTTGATCGTTTTACACCCCAGAAGCCCGATTGATTGTGCCTCCCAGCGACCGCAGCTCCGCACGCGATTAGCACTTGCAGCCTGTCACAGCTTTCGCGCATCTGCAAGAGGCCCACAGCCATGGATCGCATCGGCATTTTGGCGGGCGCAGATCAGAGCCATCCCCGAAGAAAGGCAAGCACCACCAAGACGCAGCGACGACGAGCCTGGCTCCGGCGAGCAAAAATGACACGAGCAAGCCGGGCGGCCTGGCGGCCTGCGCAGGCCTTCACAACAGGAGTCTTTCAAAAGTGTGGCAGGCATTCAAAAGCAGGACGATAAGCAGCCGATCATGGCGCACGGGAACTGGGCCACTGCGAAAGGCTACGGGAACAGAGAACCCAGTAGGCAAATCTGCGCAGAGCGCAAAGCAACAGCTGCACCTTCACATGGGCTGAGCTTGTGGAGATTGCCGGATTATCGACACCTCGGAGGCTGCTAAGAGGCCGGCATGACCTGGCACACATAGTCGAAAGCATGATTGAGAGCGCATGACAGCTTGCACCGTCCCGTTTACTGTTCCACTACTCCCCAGACCAGCAGGAGATGAGCGTGCGCACCGGCGTGCTCATGATGGACGCATGCGGTCATCTCGTGCATGAACGGGACGACCGGGTCGCCGAGACTGGGCTCAACTGCAGCATTCCCATCAACTCACAGACATTTCAGCGACAAGCCGCGATCGCCAAAGCGGGAGACGCAGAACTGTAGCACGAAAGTGCTACGTCTGCCTCGAGCTTCAGAATTTGCAAGAACCGACCCATGTCCCAGCCATTTCCCGGCTCGCGCAGCGATCCGCGCAGAATTGAGGTTCATGAATTTATCCATGAGGGCTTGAGCAGTTTCCGCTAAATGTGGCTTCTTCCCTTGTCAAGTCGCGCCAGAAGCTTGCCTTTTTCGGAATGTCTTCTTGCTGCAAGCTTCCGAGCAACCGACCGGATCCCAAAACCTCGAACAGAACGCTTCCGCGTCCAAACGCGGGTCAAGAATACATTCAACTAATTTTCTCTGCGCCACAACCCGCACGAAACTGATAAGCGAGAGTATATCCATCCGATGTCTGATGCAAGTCTGCGAAGTCAAGTTGATCCATGGGGCGCATGTGTGCTTGAGCATTTTCTGAAGCTTACCTTTGCAGGCGTGTCTGCAGCCTGTTAAACTGTAACCATGTGCGCGACCCACGACAGCCTCGGAATGTCTTCCTACTTCCGTGCGGCAGCAGCTCTTAGTCCCTAGAAGAAGCCTACTTAGCAAGAACAACAAAGCAAAGCGGTGAAACAAACTGCGTTCGTTCGTCCGGGCACGTACTCTGGCATCTTTCGCCTAATGCTTCCGACGCTGTGGCCCTGGGCTTGGGCGCCACCCCTCCCTCCAAATTCAGCCGGCAACCTTCCCAGACCTGACCCCCAGCATGGACTTGTGCAGAATTTGGCCCACACATCATTGGTGAAGAAAAAAGAACTGGATTCAAATTCTCCAGGCACACACCTGGACGAGCACACTGGAAGAAGAGACTCAACGTCGATTCTTGAACTCAGGTTTGCACAAGCTCGGACAAGTTAAGGTAGGCGACACCCCGCAAGCTAGACTTCTATGATACTGCTCTGGACTTCATTGTGCAACAGCAAAACATCGCTACAAGGGCGCCGTCCATTGAATTGGCCAGACCGCTCTCAACTGGGAGCACTGGGCAGAAGCTGCAACTTCGGACGTGACATGGCAGAACATGCAGGCTGGAGCATCTGACTCGGTCTCTCTGAGACGACCGTCGCACACCATGTGCAAGACTGGAAACACCACAGTGGATACGTGCTGAGTGTCACCTGATTCCTCAGCCACAGCTGTCTTCACCACTGCCTGAAGAAACAAGAGAAGAAACAGGAGCAATGTCACTATCTGCCGTCGCAGGCCACACACCTTCAACAGATGAAGCGCTGCAGCTGCTCACTTGACTTTCTTTAGGGCACGTCACGAAGTGGGCTAAACTGACAGGAACATGGAACATACATTGACGTAGTGGCCCAACTACCACCCGGCACAGTAAGAATCACCTGGGCTTTCTGCACACTGCAAGCTACATCAACCGAATCGAAGAAAAGAGCTGGTCAGAACGGTCACATCTTCCCCACAAACTGACAAGGCTAGTCTGCTTCTCCCGTCAAGCTGGTGGAGTCTTCACAAATGTTCCGCCCACCGAATGAAAAGAGCACCTAGCATGAGCAGGAGTGGTGGCAAGCAAGGACAAGCAACGAGACCTCAACGACGCTGTTCCAGGAGACCCAGACGAGCCTCTACGAAAATACTGCAACTGCACGCCACGAGCTTACTGTTGAAACAGTCGCTGCATGCTGGGCAGAACAGGCGATCCACGCATGCTGTGAGCAAGCTGGAGAAGATCCCTCGCCACTGCCCGTCTTTGGGGTCTCTTAGGTAGTCCCTTTGGTCGGACTGCTGCCCGGGTCTCCAGCTTGCAACAGCGGCTGTGGACTGAGCCACCGCACGCCGGTTCTGGTGGTGTTGCTCTCCTCCAAGGTTTACGACTGGCCTCGCTGCGCCTTGGGGGCTGACGGATGCCATCTTCCTGCACTCGAGGATGAAACCACCGACTCGGAGGTGCCAGAGGAGTGGACACAATGGGCTGCTGTCGTTGTGCTTGCCCTGGCGTACCTCCCCGAGATTCTCTCCGTCGCACTCCGGCTGCCATCCGATCTGGCTTCTGTTCAAGCACCCATTCGGGCTGCAAGGCAGCGCGAGGCCGCCGCCCGTTTTCCAAGACTTGTGCCCGCC